GGGAGATAGGAAAAAAGATTTGAATGCTGACAAGTATATATGTACAAATTTTGTCATTGGCATCAAAACGATATTCTTTCACAGAGAATCTTCTTCCAATGTACAATGAAGTGTTCATGATTTTAAGTCCTTTTTTCCTAAAAGTTGTTGGTAGTAAATGTGTGAAATTAACTAACTCTCCAAAGGAAACAGTTATAATGTAAGCTCTGTACATGTATACAGTTTATGTATACACACTCTCTAAAAAGAGAAATTTATGTGTCTGGAGAAAATTCAAGCCGGATAAGATGCTATCAATCAACTGCAGGATGAGATTATCCTCAAGTGTTGCACCGTTACAAGAAATGCTGGTTGAACTGTTTAGATAACCCAACATATTTTCGAGATCATTTTATAGCATAGACCTGCAGATACAATTGATAGGCCAGTTTCTACTTGTTTTAGCTGCATTTGAAATTCTTTATTCAACTGTGATGGTGCATTTTTGGTATGGCCTCTGGATGCTTTGAAAACGTTACGTACGTTTAGTGCTTTGATGTAGTCTCTATATTCTTGTAGCTTCTCTGGCACAAAGGTTTTGACAGTTGGGTTTTTTTTCAAAAAATAAAAAAACATTTAAATAAGCTCCTGATGGAAAATGTCATTTTGACTGGGAAGCTACCATAACTACAGCTTACATTTCTAATGATATTGCCACATTTGTTATGGTACGCACTTATAATCGGATGGAATAAATCACCGACTTTTAATAGTAAGCTTCATTTGTAATCACTTGGAAGGTTGATGTTACCAAAACCATCCTGAGCATACCGGTACCTTTGCTGCAAGGATGTAGATCCTTGCATTCCTTCACTGAAAATATTTGATAAAATGAAAGAAAAATGTAAAAATTTAGTAGTCACGGATATGTAAAATTAAAGATCTAAGTTTATGTAATCAAAAGTAAACATGACCACATTATTGTTTTCCAGATGCTTTTGGATGATTGTAGGTGCCTGTACCAGTTTGAACTATTAATCCCTGTGCATGTAATAACAAAATAATGTTAGGAAGAGGACTGACTAGATTTATGCCTACATGTACATCTCAACCCTTGTTTGTACTGAAGTATCAATGGCTTGGCTGTGCATTCCATTTTTATGACAATACTGGGATATTCAGACATACCGTAGCCTATATGAGTAGTAAGGAATGAAACAATGCTTTTCCATGAGAAGAAATCCTTTTTTGTCATAACTTTAAATCCTGTCACTTCAAATGGCATTCTTGTGGTTTAAACAGGAAGTGTCCAGAATTCTTTTTATACCAAGTGCTGTTTTCTAATGGACCCTGTAAATTGTTGGCATTGTTTAGTAAGATGAATGATCTACTGCTACCCGGTATTTGGTTTTGGTATCAAGTGTTGGCTACACTGTGATGCTAATGTGCCAGTCTTGGCTGAGGGCAGAGATGTTAAAGGAACACTCTCAAATCACGGGTCCTTGCCCAATGGAAACACGAGTCCATAAAAATCTCCATGGCAGTACTTTCAATTGATGTTTTCGGTTTTTGGAACCCATTTTCTTAACTTTCAGTGTGACTACTTCTGAGATCTTCTCGATTATGTATTTCTGGCAAAATGTCTATTATTCAAAAAGCAACAAGCAGGAGTTGTTAGGTTTGATCACAGTTTGGGTTAAATTTTCAAAAATTTACATTACATAATCTGTGTCATTTAAGCAAATGGAACCACATAAAGGAAAGTCAATGTACTTCATTCTTTTTCCTGTTATTGTTAAGTTGCCTCGTTTTGGAAGTTCATTTGTACATGTAGGTCAATCAAAGTCACTGTAAGAAATTGCTCGTATCATGACAACCATATGCCAGCTCATCATAATGCATTCTGTTCTTAAAATGTTATTACCACTACTCCATGCAAAGTCATCATCCATGTACTTAGATCAGCTTACTTCTAGCGCTTAGGGTTTGCATGGCTGCCATCTTGCAGGCCAAAGCTTTTATTTCACTTGGTATGCACAAAGGAGGTTTCCTGTGGAACAAAAGAACTGCCCTGCAAGATGGCCACCATGTAAAGCCTGTGTAGAATTTATGCATGACTGCCATCTTTCCGGTCAATGCTATTGAGGGCGCTGTTGAGCGGCTGCTTTTGTTAGTTACATAAGAGATGCCTTGCAACAATACACTGTTCTCAATGGATAAGGAAGGCTTAAAAGAACCAGTCCACAAAAAAAGCTTGCCCGAATCACGAGGTACAGCAACAGTGTCTTTAGTCTGGGGAATTCAAATCGTTATGGTTTATGTGCAATCAGATAACTCAGTGTACCAGATTTATTCAAATTTAACTCGCAAAAGGCTTAAATTGCAGTCTTCTTTGGCCCCTCACGGCCAGTAGTTACCAAAATTGCCCCATGGCAGCAGAGTGACAGTCAGCTTTACATGTATACTGATTTTGGAGTAGCTTGCCTGAGTTATACACAAACTGAACTACTGACACTTTTGAGGGGCATGCTTTATCTACTATTGATAAGAACTTCATGAGGTCTCTTGGAATTACTAAGCGTTGGCGAGCATGTTAAAGTGGCAGATGTAGACGTCTTCTTGAGACCTCCCTCCCATATCACAAGCTGTCTGTTATTCCAGCTTTTTACAGGCTTCCAGTACTGGTTACCGCAAGAAAGGTTTCTCACCCTTTTACTGGAAATGGTCAGCAATTAGCTATTGGGACTTTTAACACCAATCGTTCATGTTCCTCGCCATCCATTTTTTTCAAACTGTGGAGGGGATCACACTGTGAGACTGTGCATAAATATGCAGCCTCTCAAGAACAAAACTGAGGGCGATATCGACTATATTTAGTTCTGGTACTGATATTTTTGCATTAACGGAAGCCTGGCTCAGGGATGTTGATGATGCCTGCAGAACTGAGGCAACTCCAGCGGGATTAGAGCTTCTAGACCACCCAAGAACCAGTTGGATGGGGGGGCCACTGTATTGCTTCTTCATGATGGTATGGAAGTTGGCAAGATGGCGGCAGGTGAACGCCAATCATGTGAATTTTCTGAATGGTTAATCAGGTCTGGATCACAGCTTCTCAGACTGGTCATTGTATACAGGCCACCGTATTCATCTAACGATCGAACCACTGTGACTGCATTCATTAACCCTAACTCCCTAGGGTGTGTGCAAAATCACACTAAAATTGGAGGATTCAGGACTGTTAGGGTTAATGAGTTTTCTGATTATTTAGAATCAGTCTCATTATCAAGTGAACCACTTGTGATTACTGGAGGTTTTAACATTTATGTTGATAGAATCCAAAACCTTGATTCTGTGCACTTCATTGAAATGCTTGAGTGTAGATGTATGAGCTTGCAGCAGCCAGCATGTCTCTACTCCTACTCATGTATATGGTCACACATTGGATCTAATAATCACCTGTTAGAGTCCATTGTCCAGGGCATTTAAATCATTGACCAGTTACATGTATATTCTGATCATTCGTCAGTTTTGTGTAATATAAATTTTAATATAAGCCATGCGTGTGAAAGGAGTGTAGCAAAGTTGAGGTTATTGATTTGGCTCCTTAAGTTTAGGGATGACTTTTTCAGTTCAGAATTATGTAATGATGATTCAGCTCATGTTAATCCAGAGGATCTTGATGGCCTAGTTCAGTTGTATAATGATACCTTGTGTACTGTTATTGACCACCATGCACCAATTAGGACTAAAACCCTTCTGGTTCAACCAGGAGTACCTTAATTGGTTTAATAATGACATCAAAATGGCCAAGTGAGAGAGAAGAACACTTGAAAGTCAGTGGTGTTTGACTAGGTCACAGCAAGATTTAGACTTGTTCAAATGCAAGAATAATAATGTCACATTTTTAACGAATATTGGTGTCAGGAATATTATACTGATTTTATAGAAGATAAGAGTTCTGATCCAAAGAGGCTTTTAAGGCCAATAGGTCTCTTTTCCTAAGTAGGTTTCAGTTTTACCTTCACGTACTGATGATTTACAGCTTGCTAACTGTATGAGTGAATTTTTTTTGTCCAGAAAATTTTAAACAGTGTGGTAGGTTAAAACTGCATTGTATGGATTGCTTGCTTACACACGACATGCCTATTTCCTCTGAACCGAGATTCATCCATTTTGACCGATTTTAGCCAATTTTTCCAAAGTTGTGTTCGTAAACTTGTGACTGGTTCCAGCAGGAAAACGTGCTTACTGGATCCAATTCCTACTTAACAATTGAATTCTCTTTTGCCATTCATTACAAGGCTGGTCGACATTTCGTTAAGTACCGCGTATTTTCCAGGAGGATTAAAATCAGCTGTTGTTCTTCCTCTTTTAAAAAAAGCCTGGACTCATTTATTTCAAGTAGGCCTGACTATTGTAACAGCTTGCTTTATGGCTTACAGTTAGAACATAAAGTCAGAACTTGAATAGCCTGAGGGGAACTTCAAGGTGCTAACTTTGCAAAACCACAATTTAACAATGTCTAGTTAAAAACACAGAGCATTATGTGTGTGTATCCGTCAAGCATACATGTATGCCAAATGCAGAAGCTACCCACAGGGAGGAAACATAGCCTATAGAATCAACATTGCATTCATCCCAGACGCACCCTACAAAAGTATTCCAGGAGAAAATACCAAGGGGAGGATTGTTCATTGACTGCCCAATGTCGCTTCATTTCCCTGGCGCAAGTTCTGGCAGAAAATATTATTCCCATGGAGGAGAGGTGGACCCCGGCATAGCGATACAAAGACATCTCAGTCCATGTAAACTGTGGATGAGGCAGATGATGCACTCCTAGCTTTGCATATTGCTAGTCTTGGCCCAAAGATTGAGTGCTTTGCACTTAGATTCAAGTGAGGACTGTGAGCGTGCCCTAAAGTAAAACACCCGTGGAGAATAGCTGACCACATCAACATAGTTTGCTGGAATTGCACTGTATTGAAGTATTTGTTGACACATACAAAACTCGTTCATATGAATCATATCATTAGTACCAACACGAATGAGTAAAACGGGGGGGGGGGGGCAGCAGTGCACCTTGTTGATAATATGTTGGACACATCCCCCAAAGGGGCACTGCGTTTGCCTCGCCAACTAACAGTGATGTCCAAATTGAGCTGGCCTGCTGCCCTACAGACCAGGGAGTCTCCAATGGTCAGTATGTGACCTACAGAGGTACCGGGTAGTGAGGGCAAAAATGGAGGAAAAAGAAAACTTGGCTGAAGGAACCGAAATATTCAATGTGGGGGGTTCCATCAGTGGACTCACAGGAATCGAGTGAATATGAGTGGTAACTCTGTTAAAGTACCCATGATTTGTGATCCCTTTGGGATTGGTCAGAATCCTGCCTTTAGTTATCTGCAATCCTGTATACCAGGCAAGATATGGGACGGAGGGGTACCCCCCTTATCTGCCCAATCCCTGTACACACTCTAGACTATTGTTACCTAACACATCCCCTCTAGAAGTCTGTA